GGAATTTTTGTGAAAAAAGTTAAAAATCAAATAAAAAGGCTGAGGTGGAGCAGTGGGGGAAGGCCTACAAGGTGTGTTTGATCCACACCACTCCCGTGGCCAGACCCATCCTCCAAATTCTCATGGTGCAATTACATCAGGTGGCTGTAAAATGAAATGCAGTGCCTAAACATCAGAAAAACAACCCATGGCCAGTTATTACCAGCAAAATTTATTTCCAGCGAAGAGCCCTCCACTGCACAAGCACAGCAAGATGCATCCCTAGGTTTGTGCAGGATGCGCCAGGTGCTCTACTCATCTGGTACCACAGTGTCTATTTGCAAACCACTCACCACTGAAGGGGTCTGATCCTCAGCATCCTGCATATTTTCCCTCAGAAGAAGCAGGCAAGCAGACAGAAAAACATCTGGTTCCCTGGCACTGCAACAGTGCTTATCAGAGAGGTTCACATTCAGGCTGTTTGGAGAACAAAGAGCAAGAGAAGCTTGGCTGTGCATCCGCACTTCTGCCAGGAGACCTCTGTCCGTCTCTCATGGACTGGTGTCTGTTTGGCTCAGAAATGAGGCTGGGCAGCAGCATCCTTCGCTGTCTCAAAAGGTAGATGAGCTGTGCCCTCTAGTGGGGTCTGCCTCAGCAGGAGCTGCAGAGGAGCCTTCCAGGGGAGGCTGTCCCAGCCCACGCGAGGGACACACTCCCCTGGGCTCTGCAGGCCTCCAGGGCATTTACACCAGCCAGGCCATGGCACTTTGTTTGGGCACCTCCTCCCCACCTTCTTCTTTTATAAAAGCCCTTCACAAAGGCCTCTGAGTTGTGACACCTGCTCGGGCAGAGGAGGCTGGTATGAAAATAACAGAGCAGCACAAACTGGGAATAAAGATTCTCTTAGCCCTGACAAAGCCATCCTTTCATAAGGCTTCAAAGCCTCCCAGCCTTTTTTTTTTCTACTAAAAATCGGATTCTCAGTTTAGATGCATGATACTACCAGAGCCTGTAGGTCCAAACCAGCAGGTAAATTCATTGATGCGGGCAAGGATTCCTGCTGCAGCAACCCCAGCCCAAAGTTGCTCAGGCCTTCCAAAATCCTGAATAATCTTCCTACCCCCTTGGTGTACCAGTGCAACTGTGCACAGGGTCACAGAGGACTGACTAATCCAAAGCCCTAGAGAAAAAAAAAAAAAAAAAAAAAAAAAAAGGAAAAAAAAGGCTTTAAGTCAGTTCTTCTGGGAAACAAGTTATAAGAAAGGAGTGGGAGCATATTAAACTGCTTCTGGACTGGAAAAACTATATATATTCCTAGAAACTGTGTTCAAAGGACCCCCAAATCCAGCTCTAGCCTCTGCAGAGCTGATGGGAAGGACCTGGGAATGTAAACATGGCTTTTCATCACTGAAATGGGAAGTAATGGAACTGCAGTGCTTAGGCCTTGGGAGTCACAAGACACGTTTTTAATTTCAAAACTAGGATGATATTGTTTTTAAGCTTTCTTGTAGGACTTCTGCTTTTCACCCTGTTCCCTATAACCATTAGGACTAGATTTTGTTAAGTCTGTTTCACTTTCAGATCTCTTACTTGAAGGAAAGACACTGACTATGAGGAGTAACAGAAACACAGAATTATTGTCATTCAGATGTTTAATTATCAGATCTTCCCATTCTCACTCCAGACCTGTTATCCCAATGCAGTCTCACATGCTGTGACTTCTCTCTCAAGATATTGGACAAGAGCAGCCTCCTTCAAGACAGTGAGCCCCAGCTTCCTGGGGTAACCAGCTATTACCTTAATTAACAGGCAGTAAAATGCTCACTTTTTGCTCACTTTGTACCTCCCAAACTCAGGAGCAGCTGCTTTGCAGCTGAAGAATTTTGCCAGAGAAGCGGGCACATCTCCTTTGCAATCCCAAGCCCGGGATATCTGAGCCTGTACCTGGCACGAGACCAAAGCCATGTCTAATGTTCATCAGCAGAAATTGCCATGTTATAAAAACCCGGAGAGGACAGATCCCGTGTGTGCCGTGACTTCAGCCACACCCAGCCCTCCCCGATCCTCAAACCTGGGGGGATCCGAGGGGGTCTTACCCCCATCTCCTTGGTAGCTGGGATGCTCTTGGACCCCAAGACATGGGGAAAGCCCCACCCACCCACCCATTCATCCGTCTATCTGTCCGCCCATCCACCCACCCACCCACCGCCCAGTCCCAGCGTGGGAAGCGGGGAGGGAAGGACGAAGGCAGGGATGGAGGGGTGCGGAGGATGGCCACGGTGACAACAGCCTCTCGCCGTCTTGCCTGGCTGCCAGACCTTAGACCCGGTGTCAGGTCTAAGGTTCACTGCTCTCGGCCTGCCTCTCTCACCTTTGACACCGCTCCCGGAGCCGCTGCTTTCGCTTTTAGCTGCTGCCGGCACGGAGGGGCTGGAACACACGGATGGGGCCGGCACCCTGTCACCCCTGACACACGGACTGGAGCCCCGGCGGGACAGAGAGGCTTCGGGAAGGTAAAGGCGTCCTCCGCTCAGGAATTCCCCACCGGGCAGGGGAATCCCCCAGCCCCACCCGCCCTCTCCAAGGTGCCTTTCCCAGGCGAGCTCCGGAAATCTTCCCATCCTCACGGCACACGAAGGGTGCCACGGTCCTCAGTGACTCCTGCCCAAGAGGAGAGGTTTTAGGAATCCCTGTGCCCTACCCCCATCCTCCCAGAGCTGTTGTTGAAGGGCTCAGCAGAGCTCTGGGTCTCTTATTGCAGCCTTACTTCCCCGCGTGGTTAATGATCCTCATTCCCTTCCCCTTCGCTTTGAGGGGAGCTGCTTCTTCTGAGATCATTGCCGTGTCCATCTAACATTTACACATTATGTCTTTGCAGTTGGGATTTCTGTATCCCCTGGTAACCCTGGCTTAAGTGAACTTTCTGAGTGGCCACTCTCTTATTTTAGCCAGAGCTTAAGCACGTAGGAGGAGGCTCCCAAAAGCAGAGGAGAGCTTCGAGCTGAATGCTAGAAATTAACTGGGGAGGTAGGTGCCTGACAACTGTCTTGTATGTGTGGGGAGGAAAAGTTAAGTGTCTAAACCTGAAAGAACCTGAAATATTGTGTCCAAAACCTGCAGGGGTAAATACTGCAGACTTACACAGTTAAGTGTTGAAGTCCTGTAATTTTTTTGAGGTGCTTAGTAATTTTTGTTCTGGTTCACTCTTCCACCCCTTTGCAGAAGATCAGCAAATGGCTTTAATGGTATTAGGACCTAAAAAAGCTTAGACATCATTACACTTAACATTAATTTCCCAGGAAGCTAAACAGGGTTTTAAATAAGACTTCTGAGTGACTCCATCCCCAAAGACATGCCTGACTTTTCTTTTACTACTGCTTTCCTTTGGAAATAAAAGGCTTATCCCCTGACAACAAATACACCAGGATCCCTCCAGCCCAGGTTAAAGATGCTGAAGACAATTTCCTGGGTGCAGCAATGTTTAATCCTCCTTTAGGAAGTGAGCAACAATTGGTGTTGTGGCTGTTTGGGAACTCACCTTCAAGACAAGTGTAGGATCAAGCAAGCCTGCCCCTAACATCTGTGCTAGACACAGCTGCCACAAAATACTAAGCTGTACCTGGAGGCTAAATCCACCAGCAGGGTTTTTACAGCTGATTGAAGATAAATTGGTTTGTTTTCTCTGACTACACTGGATCTGAGCAGGTTGAGCTTTCCCTGCCCCTCAGCGTGGCCTCTTGGCAGAAGGAGAGGACCAGCACCACCTCGGCTGTTGCTCTCCAAATTGATGACAGTAGATAGCTGGATGCTTTTCCCACAGTCCCTTATCCAGGTAATGTAGGGTTTTACTCTGTACTCTCCTTTTCCAACAAAAAAAGAGGACAAAGCCCTCGCCATTTCCTGTTAAATCCTGTTTTCCATTAAATCAGAACAAAGCCACTTGTTTTTCTTCCTTGCCATCCTCCTCAGGTGGGAAGGGAGCCTCACCCTCTGCCCCTTAACATGGGGAAAAAATTGTTTCAAGTGAGCAAAAACTCATTGCAGTAAATCTCAGGTGAGTTTTGTTCCAGCATCAACCCACCTTTCTAAGGTTGAACAGAGAGCAGCAGAGGGAAATGATGAGAAACTGTGTTTAATACAGACAAGCTTGGGTAGTTTTCAAGCAGTTTCCTGTTTCCTTAGAGGGTTTTATGGGTTATCGCTGACAATAACTGCCCAGAATGGATGACAGTCTTGTTTCCAGCCTACAAAGAGGAAAATGTATGTAATCAATACCCTCAAGAGCACATTCGTGCCGTGCCACAGGGCTTATCTTTTCCTTCCTTGAAAAATAAGACTAACTAGCTGTTCTGCACAAACTATGGTCCTGCTCTTCATCACAGGGCTGCATGAGCTGGGGGAGATGATGTTACTTGTTGTTTTTTAAGGGGATTAAAGCCCGTCTCACCCAGCAGAAAAACTACTCGGATCTAAAGATATAGACCTGGGTTCAGCCAAGGAACGCTCTTAATGACAGCCTTAATGAAGAATTAAAGCTCTGGAGCCTGCCAGATTGCAGAGGGAGGACAGACAAAATAAAGGAGCCACGTGGGATGAGCAGCTCTCAGGAACAAGGGGCTTTTGTCAGGGGAGGGAATGCAGGGAGCTGCAGGAGCAGGGAGCTGGAGGAGCTCCACCGCTGCTGCTGCTGTAGGTGTCTTTATAAAGGTACTTCTTGCTTCCACAGTCAAATCCCTGAGGCTCAGGTAGAAATTGCACCAACTCTTCATCATAATTCTTGCAGATCCCTGCTGTCTGCCTCACCAGGGCTTTATTCCATTTTGGGGGGAATCTCTTCACTCCAGCAGAGCTCGCCCTGGCATCCTGCTCAGCCCAACACCCCGTGAACTTCCCTCTCTCCTTTACAACTGTCCACATGAGCTGAGTATTTTTGGAGGAGGAGCTCTGTGAGGAGGAACCAGGGCAAAGCAGGGCAAAGTGTTGTTTGCTGCCCTGCACTGGCAGCTCCCACCCAGCAGCGGGGCAGTGGCACTTCCTTGGCCCAGGGCTGGGAGGAGGGGACACACGTGTCACCCAGGAGGGCTCCCACCGACCAAGGCTCTGCAGCTGCTCTCTTCCATCAGGTTTGAGGCAATCCCTGTTACTGGGTCTGTGTTTCCTGCCATCCCTGGGCACAGCAGGGTGGTCTGTCACACTCTGGGGTGACATGGGGGTGGCGCTCCAGGGGCTTGGTTTGGCTGGGGCTCTTTTCCCAGGGTGCAGGAGCATTTGCCACCTGCTCTGTGTGGTGCTGCTCCAGCCAGGGTTTCTCGCTCCTGAGGCTCTCCTGATGTAACTCCTAACCAGGATGGATGTGGGACATCAGCCTAAGCTCTTCACCAGGACTCTGGGGAAGGAGGTGTCCGGGAGAGCGAAGCACAGCCAGAAGGGATTTCCCTCTGCCTGGAAATTCCTCCAGCTCCTCCCTGTTAAAGGAGATGCAGCAATCTCCTTGCCTACATCCAAGGAGGCTGCTGGCATCAGGTTTCTTCCTAAACATCTCCACCTTCTGGTCACAGCTGACCGTGGCAGATGCCTTGATGCATTAAATCTGCAGTTTATGATATGAATGATTTTGATTTTATTCCAGCCTATTTCGGAGTTAACCCCACCTGCCCAGCTGCCACTCAGGAGCTGCTGCAGAGGTTCAGCTGATCCTGGGATCACTGGCAGGTGCCCACTGAGCAGAACTGGTTTCCTTGCAGGACATGGCACAGACAGAGACACTGGGTACATCCCCAGAGGGACCCCGTCCCTCCTACATGTACAAGGTGGTGCTGCTGGGCAGCATGTCCGTGGGCAAGTCCAGCCTGGCCTACAGATACGTGAAGAATGACTTCAGGGAGCTGCTGCCCACCGTGGGATGTGAGTGAGTGGCTCCAACAGCTCCATGGCTCTGGACAAGAGACCAGGACTGGAGCACTTCCCTGCAGCAGGGTGGGATGCAGGGGAGCTGCTTGCTCCACCCTGCAGGAGCACAGACCCACTTTGGAGCATGGTGCAGATTTGCCCAAAAGCCAGAACCTCCCCCTTCACCCCTCTGCATTTCCAGCCCATTTCCAGCAGCAGGCCACAAGCAAAGCCACATCCACATCGCACAGGTCTGGCTTTGTGCTGCATTTTAGAGGCAGGTGAGCAGCAGAATAATGAGTAAACTGTGCAGTCCATCTGCTCTTTGTATGCTGTGCTGCCTTCCCAGCTATTCAGACACCCCAGGAGGGTCTCTTAGAAAGGTTTGCATTAAAGATCACACAGTTTCAATCCCCCCTGCCCAGGTCCCACAGCACCTAGACTTTATGTCTATTTATTCTACGAGCTGCACCTGGGTTTTGCCTTAAGCAGGCACAGCAGGTACAGAGGCTGTGATCCCACCTGTAACTGAAGAGCCAGCTGGTGGAGCAGAGCAAAGTGGAGCTTCTCCTCTCATTCCTCTGCTTGTGAACCAGCCGTCTGCTCCCTGAAGGAAAAGGTGGAGGCTTCCCTGCAGTGGGAGCCCTTTCCATGGATATTCCCATTCACAGCTCTGACCCACCAGTGAGGTCTCTCTTGCTGGGGGCATTCTGCAAAGTTCAGAGTTATGCAGCATCAAACCTCGTGTCATCCACCCAAATCTATAGCCAGGAAGGGCCACCTCAGCCCAGTGCCAGTGGAGTCCCCCCTGGATTCTGTGCATTAGAACATCAGTAACAGCCTCAGGGCAGGGGATCTGAGCTCCCTGCTCTTGCTCCAAGTGAACACACACCCTGCATCTTGCCTGCAGGCTCCTTCTTCACACAGATACTGGACCTGGACGAGGCCACTGTCAAGTTTGAGATCTGGGACACGGCGGGCCAGGAGAAGTACCAGAGTGTCTGTCACCTCTACTACCGGGATGCCCACGCTGCCCTCCTCGTTTATGACATTGCTAACAAGGTGAGGCCCCTGGCAGGACCGTGCCACCACCCAGGGGTGGTTTCTGCTGCCGTGAATCCCATCCAAGGGTGATTTATCCCTCAATGTGTTTGAGGGCTGCTGACCTGTTTTCCTGAGAGGGGCAATCAGAACCTCCCCACCCTCTTTGGTTTGGAGCCACCCAGCTGGTTTGGTCTGAGACAAAGGGAATAAATCAAAACCTGATCACTGGGTGGTTTTGTCTCCATCTCTCCAGCAAACATTCAGCAGAGCAAAGCTGTGGCTGGAGGAGCTGGAGAAGAAATTCCTGCCTGATGAAATCGTGATTGCTCTGGTGGGCAACAAGACAGACCTTGCTGCTGAGCGAGAGGTCACCACTGAGGTGAGTGCCTGGGGTTCCCTCATCACCCCTCACAGAAAGATCTGGGATATAGCCAAGGAAAATTTCCAGGGAAATCCAAGCATTTAAGAGGTTTTCAGACACCTCTGAAGTCCCTGTACATGGAATCCACCATAAAACTGAACAAGCAGCCCCAGAGGGGGCAGGGGAATAATTGTGCTTGTTTCTCTTAGGCGGGGGAAGACTTTGCACGAACAAAAGGCCTCCTGTTCATGGAGACATCTGCAAAATCCAACCACCAAGTGAATGATATCTTCATGGCCATAGGTGAGTTATGGGATGGCTCTAGGTGAGAGCAGAGGCAGGTGAACCATGGCCCCAGCTCCTTAAATGCTCAGCCCCTTCATTGCTCCTACTTGTCACTGAGATGTTCCTCCCAGCCAGTCCAGCCTGTGCCACCCCTTGAGGCAGAAGGATGAACAGATCCATCCTGAGATATTCCAGTGTCAGGGAGGGCTTTCAGGCCTTCTGTGGGCCCAGAGCCACAATTTTATTTTGCATTGATATCGAATCTAGTAGTGTGTTGGTGCTGTTTGTGAGGGTCCCAGGACAAGGGAAGAGATGAATCTGACTATATTTCTTAGAAGGCTGATTTATTATATTATGATATTATATTAAAAGAAATTGTATACTAAAACTATACTAAACAATAGAGAGAAAGGATACACCAGAAAGCTAGAAAAGAATGAATAATAAAAACCTGTGACAGACCAGAGAGTCCGACACAGCTGGACTGGGATTGGCCATTAAGGAAAAACAATTCACATGGAACCAATCAAAGATGCACCTGCCACATTCCAAAGCAGCAAAACCCAGGGAGAAAGCGATCAGATAATATTGTTTTTCTTTTCCTCTGAGGCTTCTCATCTTCCCAGGAGAAAAAATCCTGGCGAAGGGATTTTTCATAAAATACCACAGTGCCAGCAGTGCAATGGTGTCCCCAGCTCAGCTGTTCAGGGAACTGCGGGATGGTGCCCTGGGGTGGGACACCGGGTGGCCATGGCATCCCAGCCACTGGCAGGAGAAAAGAGCCCTTCTTTGCCTTGTGTTTCCTCCTAGTCCAAGAACTCCTGAGGAGGGAAAAAGAGAAGGCACCCAGGCCATCCCCACATGGGAGGTCGACCGTGGACCTGAGTGCGAGTGGGGCGAGGACGAGGTGCTGCCGGAGCTGAGGACGTGGCACTGCACTCACAGGGCTGGAGCCCACCTCCATCAGGGACAGTGACAGAGCAGGGGGGCTCAGAGCTGCAGGGACAGCTCAGCCTGACCACCCTCCCTCTCAAAGCCCACTCAGAGCCCTCCTCAGTACACGGGGCAGAGATGAATCTGACTATATTTCTTAGAAGGCTGATTTATTATATTATGATATTATGTTAAAAGAAATTGTATACTAAAACTATACTAAACAATAGAGAGAAAGGATACACCAGAAAGCTAGAAAAGAATGAATAATAAAAACCTGTGACAGACCAGAGAGTCCGACACAGCTGGACTGGGATTGGCCATTAAGGAAAAACAATTCACATGGAACCAATCAAAGATGCACCTGCCACATTCCAAAGCAGCAAAACCCAGGGAGAAAGCGATCAGATAATATTGTTTTTCTTTTCCTCTGAGGCTTCTCATCTTCCCAGGAGAAAAAATCCTGGCGAAGGGATTTTTCATAAAATACCACAGTGCCAGCAGTGCAATGGTGTCCCCAGCTCAGCTGTTCAGGGAACTGCGGGATGGTGCCCTGGGGTGGGACACCGGGTGGCCATGGCATCCCAGCCACTGGCAGGAGAAAAGAGCCCTTCTTTGCCTTGTGTTTCCTCCTAGTCCAAGAACTCCTGAGGAGGGAAAAAGAGAAGGCACCCAGGCCATCCCCACATGGGAGGTCGACCGTGGACCTGAGTGCGAGCGGGGCGAGGACGAGGTGCTGCCGGAGCTGAGGACGTGGCACTGCACTCACAGGGCTGGAGCCCACCTCCATCAGGGACAGTGACAGAGCAGGGGGGCTCAGAGCTGCAGGGACAGCTCAGCCTGACCACCCTCCCTCTCAAAGCCCACTCAGAGCCCTCCTCGGTACACGGGGCCTCTTCAAACCTTTAGCTCCATCTTTAGCTGGGAGACAAAGCACAGGGAAAAGCACAGCCTGCCAGGAACACTGCCACTAACCCTCACTGGTGACATCCCCCAACCCCCAGCTGTCACCTCCTCCATCTCCCTTTCCCTCTGAAAAGGGAGGGTTTAATTTCCCAAAGCAAAGATCCTGGTGGTTTTGCACCCAGTCTGTGAATAAAGTGTATTTTTTTCCCCTGTCCTGCATGTCAGCCTGTAGGGAGCCACAGGAAGCCTGGGGGTGGCAGGGACCAGGGCCAGTGCTCTCCTCACCCCATCCACCCCATTACAGGGGTTACAGCCCATCCTTGGGGGCAATCACTGAGACAGAACGGAGCCGAATCACATGTGTGGTGTCACAGTGCCCCGTGCCTTGCTGGCCTCCCCTTTACACAGTTATGAGTCCACTGTGGGAGCTCCCCTTGGCTGGAAGAGGAGAAAAACCCACCCGTGCCCTCTCCAGATGCAGCAGCACTCACCCTGTCTGCAGGGCAGTGATCTCTGAGGTTTTGGGGCATGGCAGCGGAGTGGACAGAGCATCACATTGTCCCCAGGCGGTTCTGACCCCACAGAAATGGTGGGGCTATTTCTGTCCCCAGCTCATGGAAATGAAGGTGTCGGGTGCATCCCTGGGAGCTGGCACTCCCAGGGGATACCCCTGGGAAAGGGGTCCCTCTGTGATTATTTTTGGGGTGTTTCTTGGGGTGTGAGTGGATAAACGTGAGAGGCAAGGGCTGTGACACTGGCAGGGCAGGCAGAAACCCAAGGTGGCCGTGCAGATTTAGGGGTGGCTCCCCCCACGCTGCAGTTTGGAACAGAGAGCCTGGGACACAGGGGTGAGAGGAGAAGGGATTTTATTGCCAGCTGCAGTTCAGGGGTTCAGCTCCAGCCGGGGAGGGTGGGGAGCTGCGCAGCCCCGCTGCCCCGGCCCGCCGGGCGCGCTGCCCCCGCCCAGGGCTTGTCGCCTCCCGAAGCGCCCCACGGGCCGGATCCCGCGGCCCGTGTACCACGAGGGGTCGATGTCCGGGTCTGAGGGAAAAGCCGAGAGCCCGTCAGGGAGGTTGGAGGGTATGCAAGGGGACGAGGCATTGCGCCCACCAGTGAAGGGATGGGAACACCAGGGGAGCAGGGGAGGGGGATGAGGAGGATCAAAGCTGTAGCAATTCTCTTTCAAAGCAGACCTGTGCTCCTGCACAGTGACAGCAGCTCCTCACCCCCCAAGTGCAGCTGAGCCGGGGGATGCAGAGGGGGCTGGAGGCAGGGGGTGGCTGGGGACAGTCCCTTACTCATGTTCTCCTTACTCCTGATTTCCATGGAGCGCTCCAGGACGCGGCCGTGGGTGGCGGGCAGGGTCAGGCAGACGAGCAGCAGCCACAGGAGGCAGGCGACCCCCAGCTTCATCCTGAGCACTCTCAGGCCGCTGTGACTTGGCTGTGAAGTCTCCTGAGCCCTGCTGAAGGCTCCGATGTGGCTGCAGGAGAGAAGGGATTTGGCTGTTGGTGTGTGTCCCCATCACAGCATCCCCGGGCCAGCGGCAAAGGGCTTGGGGACAGCACCAGAACAAACCAGGGGTTTGCTGCGGCTGACACCTCTGGGGAAAATTTTGCCTCCAAACATGAGCTGCACAAACCTCATCGTCATTAAAATAGGTTTTGGTCCTAGCCTAGTGCCTTAGGTCAGGCCTGATCTTCTCTGGGACCCCCAGTAAACCTGTGGGACCCCAGAGCCCAAGGGATGGGGACCAGCACCAAAATGCTGGCTGGCTGCAGAGCCACAGGTGGGTGGATGGATGGATGGATGGATGGATGGATGGATGGATGGATGGATGGATGGATGGATGGATGGATGACCACCTCTGCACCCTTAGCATCCACCCCTGGCCGCGGCTGCTGAAGTGACAACCCGGGAACACCCTGTGCCACACTTCAGGGCGCTGAGGCGTTGAGCAGGGGCGGGCTGGGTGAGGGGCTGGGTCTCTGCAGCCACCCAGCCTGGGGAACAGGGCGGGGGAGCCGAGCGGGAGAGGGAGGCAGGGAGAGGCAGGACACGGCGGGGCTGCGGGGCCGCTCCATTTCCAGCCACTTTTGCGAAGGAAAAGTTCGCAGCGTGCTGAGCAGGAGACACCCCGAGCTCCCTGCAGCTCAGGTTTGCCGCGGCCACCAACTTTTTTCTCCCTCCCATCCCCACCAGCCGGCTGGACGGACGCGAGGACAGACACACGGAGAGGCAAAGCAGCGCTCGGGAATTACCGAGAGCATCACGGCAGGCGGAGGAAAGCGTCGCTCCCGGGCGGGGGCCGCACTTACCGGGGCCAGGCGAGCAGAGGTGGCCGGCTGCTGTCCCCTGAGCCAGGTGGCGGCTGTGTGAGCCGGAGTCCCCTCCGCTCGCCGCTTTTATCGCCGCTTCCCTGCTGATGTCAGAGGCGAGCCCCGGCGGGGACCGAGCCGGGGCATCTCCCCTCCCCGCTGTCCCCTCTCATCAAATCAGCACCGGGATTGTCGTGAGTCAGAAGGGACCAGCATTCTATCTGACGCTGGTTGAGGGAGATAGTTTGGGAATATGTTAATGCCCGTCCTCGACGCGGGGTTATTTCGGACAAGGGGAAGTTTTCTGCTCATTCACTTGCTGCCGGGGTCGGTGTGTGCTGCTGCCCTGACTGCTGTAACTGCACCGCAGGATTCACTCCGGTACCACCACCCCCTCCCCTCCACTCTCCCCCCCAAAAAAACCCTGCTTTAGGGAAAGCAGAACACTAAACACAGAGACCAGGGGAAGGCAATGTGCCGGTTCACACGGGCTGTCAGGAACAGGCTTGTTCTCTGGGCATGAGGGGTACAGATCCCCGGCCCCCTGCTCCCATTTAAAATTAATTTTAAAGATTTCTGATGTTTATTCTGCTGGATGTGACACTGGAGGAGCCAGCCTGGGGCTCCAGCGTGAGGGTCAGTTGGTGTCCGGACAGACAGAAGTGGGACATCCCAAAACAGGGACATCTCTGTGCTGGCAGGACAGTGAAGAGACCGTCACCAGCGGGGTGTGGGCAGGGGAAGGTCTCTGTCTGCCACCCCAAAGTGGCGTGGCTTTGCCCTGGGACAGATCTCCGTCTCAGGCAGTGCCCATCTCCCCTGCCTGAGCACAGCCTGTGCTGGAGAGAGGTGGCAGGAGCAGCGTGGCTCACAGGGGACTGCCACAGGTGTGCAGCAAACCAGGGAAAGGGCTGAAGAGAGGAGAACCTGCCCCAGCGTGGGCTTCAGCCAGGGAAATCCCCACCCCGGGCTCAGCAGGCCTCTCTCCACCCCAGGGTTGCTGCTGCTATTTAATACAGGTTTAAAGCAATCCCTTGATGCTGTGGGCTCGTGTTTCTTGTGGCTTCAGCTGCCAGACTGGGTTCAGGGTTTCCATGCAAGTTGGAGCAGTGCCTTTATTTCAGGGTTAGCCCCTCCCCAGCACCAGCCTGGGCATCCCCTTTGCCTACCCAGTGGCTTCTCCTCCGGGCACCACTGACCCACACCAGCACACTTGTGGCCCTGTGGCCAGTGTCTGGCCGGTGTCTGGCCATCCTGATGTGCACCCTCTGCCCCCACCTGGCTTCAGTGCTGCTGGTTCAGCTCCTGCCTGCTCCACCTGGCCAGCTTTAAAGCCAGGAGTGCACAGGATGGTTAAAGAAATGGATACGGAGCTGCTGGAGCAAGCCCAGAAGAGGCCATGAAGGTGCTCTGAGGGCTGGAGCCAGGCTGGGAGAGCTGGGGCTGCTCACCTGGAGGAGAGAAGGCTCTGAGAAGATCTCAGAGCCCTCCCTGTGCTTAAAGGGGCTCCAGGAGAGCTGGAGAGGGACTTGAGGACAAGGGATGGATGGACAGGACACAGGGAATGGCTTCCCACTGCCAGAGGGCAGGGTTAGATGGGATATTGAGAAGGATTTCCTCCCTGTGAGGGCAGGGAGGCCCTGGCACAGGGTGCCCAGAAAATTGTGGCTGCCCCTGGATCCCTGGAAGTGTCCAAGGCCAGGCTGGACAGAGCTTGGAGCAGTCTGGACTGGTGGAAGGCATCCCTGGCCTTGGCAGGGGGTGTGAGCAGAGGGGCTTTGAGGTCCCTTCCAAGCCCAGCCATTCTGGGATTCCATGGGAGGAGAAAGGAGCCTTTGCTCGAGTGCGCTGAAAAAACAGACACTGGGAAATGGGTGGGTGGTTCTGGAGGCAGAATTGGCTTTATTGCATGATTTAGTGAACATTTATTACAGGCAAATGGGTCAGGAAACCAGCAAAGAACAACGTGGGTGGCTACTGAATGATGCCTTGGTGTGCACTGCTGAGGTTCCCCACAAGGATTCCTCCACAGGGTCAGGTGTGGAAGGACTGGAGTCATGGCTGGAACCAGACAAGCAAGAGATGGGGCTGGGTGAAGGCTGAACCCTGGTGCAAGAAGGGTGGGTGCAAACCCTTTGGATGGTCTTGCTGAAGCTCCCTTTTTCCAGCCCAGGAGCTGCCATCCCAGCACAGCACAGGCTGGATCCAGTGAAGGCGCAGTGTCTGGGAGAGTTTCTGCCACAGCAGAGGTTTGCACTTACCCTGTTGAGCTTCAGGCCACAAGGATTTAATTTTAAAATAAGAAACTGGCCTTGTTTCCAGCTGGGAAGCCCAGCCTGTGGACTCACAATACTCTCTGGGATGACCACAGGACCAATTCCTACACAGTCAGCAGCCTCTACTCCTAGCAAAGCCAAACAAATGTTACTTGCATGAGAACTCACCCTACTGCTCATAATTAAAGTGGTTTTAGCTCAGATGCTCAGGAATTGCCTAAAATGATCTAGCCTGGGTGGCCATGGAGGGGAAACTCTGCACTGGTCTGATGTCCTGCTCCAGCTGTGAGTGATCCTCCCCACTTTGCCCATCGGGGAGGGAGGGAAGGAGGGAAGGAAGGGAGTGGGGGCTGTACAGGACAGGGACAGAACAAAAAACCTCCTCCAAAGTGACCTGCAAGAGAAAGCAACCCTCTGCCCATCCTGATGCTCTGCTCATGGGTATGGGGCTGGTACTGATCCACTGGGATCAGTGGAAAGTTGAATATTGGAGGAAAACAAACGTCTTGGGGGAGCTGGGGGGAGGCTGACACCAGGGCCCAGGGCTACTGCAGCTCCCAAAGGTCATCACAGCCCTGAAAAAGGATGGGGTGGCCCTAAGAGGCTCCACAATGCCATCACCAGGGACAGGGGACATGCTCATCCACCCAAGTGCGTCCTGGCAGGGGCTGACTCCTCTGCAGGCTGGGGTCTGTACCTTGCTGATACAGCCTCACATGGAGTGGAGATGTCTTCAAGAGCTGGAAAAGCAAGCCAATATCGCCAGCAAGCCCTCCAGCCTTTCCTCCCACTTTTCTTGCCACTGCTTCCCTCAGGCCTCGCCTCGCTCCCATGCCCTGATGGCCACAGCTGCTTCAGGCGTGGTGGCAGAAGCCCCAGTGGGTGCTTGCATGGCTGGGGGCAAAGAGCAAGTGCTCACTGGGAGGGGAGCAGCACTGCTCTCATCCTGCTTTCCTGCTCAGGGAAGAGAAACAAAGCTCAGGGACATGGCAGGGGATTGGGACCAGCATCAGGGTGTGAATCCCAGCACTGGGATGCCTGGGTCCATCTTCTGCCAAGGGCATTCCACACTCACTGTCAGCTCCTGTCCCTGCTCACAGCAGCCTGGAGAGAGCAGGGACAGGCACTGACATTTTCTGCCAAGTGAGGGCTGTGTCCCTGCCCTGTCCCTGTGCTGAATGTCACACTGACACCCAGCTCCCACGAGGAGGTCACTCCTGCTCTGCACCTCTCTGGTCCCCTTGGCTGACCCAGTACCAAAGAGCTGCCCCAACCCAAGGTCTCATTCCAGCATCCTCCATGAGCACCCCTGGCCACATGGCTGCACCCCAGTGCTTTGCTCCTCTTCCCATCAACTCCCAGCAAGGCCTCCTGCCCATGGCCTCTGGCTTCCTTTCTGTCCAGGCTTTCAGGGAGAGAGGGGCTCAGGAGAAGGAGGAGAAAGTGTTTCAGGGAAGGCTGAGAGAGGCTTTGCTTTGCTGAGGTCTTGCATCTTCACTGAAATGCGGTAGCAGGGAGGTCCCCTCTCCTCAGGACAGGTGGGTCATCACAGGCTTCTGCAGGGCACAAGAAGGAGAAACCTCAGCCCACCACCGTGTCCACAGCACCCTGAGGCAACCCAGCATCTCCTTGTCCCTTTCTAGCTGTCACTGCACAGAGTGAGTCCCTGTCCCACCCCACAGACCACGCAGGCAGCGGGAACTCAGAGATGTTCATCTTCTCCGCGGCTCCTGACATCGCCGACCTCAGGAGCGATGCCCAGGCACTCCACCCTCACCAGACAGCGTGGAGGGACCAACGCTGAGAGCTGAGGGCTCCATCAGCTTCAGGAGAACGTGGGGGAGGACAAGTGCCAGGGGCAGCCAGCAGCCCTGCCTGGGGCTGGCTCCGTACCGCAAAGAGCCGCTCCACCCTCCTGTTCTTGCCGTTGGGGTTCCTCTGCGTCAGCGAGCCGCGGTACGCCGAGTTGCGCTCAAAGGAGTCGTCAAAACCTGCAGGGAGGGAGCAGAGGTGGGCAGCAGCTCCTCACCCACCGCACCAGAGCTTTCAGAGACCCACCGAGTCACTTGGGATTGACTAATTCCCCTCTGGCTGCAGGTTTGGATGCATCCCAGCACTCCCCTCTCTGGGAGGGCGATGGGAGCACTTTGGTAACGAAGATCTGCTGCTGCTCAGCTTTCCAGAGCCCTCTGTGAGCTGGCTCAGCCTTTCCAGACTCTGCTCTGGAAAGCTCCGTGGTGCAACAAAACCCCAGCCTGGGAGAAGCTCTCAGCTCTCCCTGCCCCAGCCTTGAGACTCTCTTGGCCTGTTAATTCATCTCCTCTCCTCTGCCACCAGCTTCCACCAGCTGCACCTTTTCAGGCCCAGCTTTCCAAGTCCCTGCCCTGGCAGGCAGGCAGTCAGGAGACCAAATGAGCCCTGGCCCAGCCCAGGCACAGGGATTAGGTTTGCTGGTGACGTCTGTCCCCATTGCACTTCCCTCTATCTCCTCGCAGGCCTGCCTTTATCTGCCTGCCCTTTGCAGTAAGGAGAGCAGATGACTCCTCCTGAGGATGAGGACAAGGGACCTTTCCACCTAGCAGCCCCAGCCGGGGGAACAGCACTGTTAATTGTCTGTGTGAATGGGGGAAATGCTGCTCTACCTCTGCAATAAATGGTCTTTCCCCCCTTCCCTCCCTTTGCTTTCCATTATCTGGAAGGAGAACCACTCTTTCTGCCTTTAAGCTTGTGAGGAGAGATAAGAGAGAAGTAGAAAAGTAATTTCCTAATGGGTCTCGCTGATATTGGCCAGAATTAAGCATTTGCAGTGATTGTCCCCCCACCACACCAGCTGCTGTGCCAAGTTTCAGGTCATCATCTACTTTGAAGCTCCCCCAAGCTGCTGTTTGTCCATAGCTGGGCCCTGAAGGGCTTCTTGCCCCCCAGAAATGGCTGATGAGTCAGGTGGGCAGCAGGGTCAAAATCACAGAGTCATGTAATGGTTTGGGTTGAAAGGAACTTGAAATCCACTCTTTGTTCCACCCCCTGCCATGGGCAGGGACACCTTCCACTAGACCAGGTTGCTCCAAGCCCTGTCCAACCTGGCCTGGAGCACTTCCAGGGTTGGGGAATGCCATCCAGGGAAGGATACCTTCCCCAAGATGGCCAAGCAAGGGAGAAATTGCTGTCAGAAGAGAGGATGGGCTTAGGTGAGGCTTTGAGAGCTAACAGCCCACGGGATGAAGGCACACAGGTGTCTCCCTGGACCATGGGGTGGCCGCAGAGAAGTCCTGGCTCTTGGAGGACTCAGCCACCTCAGCCTGGTCTCTGTTCTCCCATCACTGCCCCCAGCCCTGCCAGCTGCTGCCTCCTTTCCCAGTTACCACCACAGGTTCCCCCTGAGGCTGTCCCAGCAGCAGGCCATGAGCACAGGGAAGGGAACTCCCCTGCAGACACACAGCTGGATACAGAGAGAGAGAGAGAGAGGAGCAGCACCTCCAAAGCCCAGCCCAGCCCCCCAGAGGTGCCCATCTCCCACGGGCAGGGCCGTGGTCCTTACTGGTGATTTCCAGGGGACTGTTGAACTTCCTCCTGAACCTCTGCAGTCCGGGCATTGCCTGCAAGAGAAGGGGAGCAGCCTGCTGTGGGGAAGGGATGGGAGGGCAGAGGTCTCCACTGAGGCCACTGCTCCGAAGGCAGCCCCCAGGTTGTGCCCAGGCTTAGTGCTCTGCCACAGGCACAGCCTGTGATTAGACACACACTCACTTTAATGTCATCCAGAGACTCCCCAGGACTGCTGCTGGCAGGAGCAGGAGAAGGGAGACAGGCAGCCTGTGGACAGAGGAAGGCAGAGGTGTCTCTGGGGGTGCAAGAGGAGGCAGACACCTCAGTCTGCCACGGCAGAGCACCAGGCAGCACAGGGAGAACTGGGAATGGCTCAGCCAGCCAGGCAGCCCTTCCCAGCACACAGGGGCAGCAGCTACAGCTCAGGGCAGCAGGTATATCACAGCCACCACCCTCCATCCTCACCTGCACACTCGACTTCTTCTTTGCCTTTTCCACAGACTTCACTGTCAGCCCTGCAGCAGACAGGGCTGCAATTCGGGATTCGATATCCGATATCTTTAGAAGGAGGAAAAAAGACACACAGATGGTGGTTGGAGGATCCACCAGTGGCTCTGTTTGCCATCACTGGCTGGGCAAAGCATCTGCCAGGGTCAGGCCCTCACCTCGCTCTCTGCCTGCTGCACCTGAGCAGCTGCTGAGGCCACTTTGTCCTCCAGCTCCGACAGCTCCGAGTCGGTAGTGCCGCTGTGCTGAGCCCCTTCCTCAAGCTCCTTCAGGGTCTTCTCAAGCTGGTAGGTCTTTCCAGCAGTCAGGTACACCTGAAATACAGCAAAAGGAAAACTTGCATTGAACAATTAACCTTCTTGGAGCTCTCCTGTCCTGCTGTGGCTGCAGCACCAGACGCAGCAGCTCCTGCCACTCTTTTCTGACTGCCTTCTTGCCTTGCAGCACAGACAGTGCCAGTCAGCTCTGACACGACTTGCATTCTCATTTCCTCCCTTCCCTGGGCTTTTTGAGAGCAATTACCAACAGTGTGAAGAGGTAAGAGGCTCAGTGGGAACACAGGAAGGACCAAAACTCAGTGACCTGCTTGAGAAGCAGCAGCACTTTGTGCCGTGTGCTCAGAGGAGAGCAGGTACCAGCTGCAAACCAGCTCAGGCTGCTGTGCCCTGTGAGGAGGAGACAAACTGACTCTCCAAACCTGCTCAGTCTGTGTTGCTGGGAGCAGGGTCAGAGCAGGGCAGCCTTTGCTGCCTAGAGAAGAAGGGTGAAAGGATCTATCCCAATAAAACCTCTGGTTTTACTGCCACTTGTCTCCTCCCAGGTTACTACAAGGACACAGGTCCAAGTAAGGCAGCTCAGGAAACATTAACACATCAATGTGCAATCCCATCAGATGATCAGATGTGGCCACTGTTCTGCTGACTGATCCCAAGGTCTCGGTACTGCCATGGCAATTTCTGCTCCTCCAGCCCTCCCAGCTCTCCCTGGGCTGGGCATTGTGCAAAGCTGCCTGGCAGGAGCCCTCTGCATGCACTGAGCTACAGCCCATCCACCCAAATCACAGCAGCACGCTCCCAGAGGTCCCACCCATCCCAGTGCAAATCCTAAGGCCATGCACCACCCAGCCTGAGTCACAGGGATTTGCTGTGGGCCCTCCAGACTCTCCCAGTGCCCTCCAAGGAGGGTGGCATGCCTTGCAGAGCAGCACAGAATGGCCAGCCAGCTGTGACTCAGCCAGGATCCCTGAGGGAGTGGCAGGATGACACACATCTCCCAGGGCTATTGTCTACCCACCCCTGTCCTGAGCTGACAGGAGCTGACAACAGCAGCAGCTCCAAGTTCATCCTTCCCAGCCCTATCCCCTCTCTTGGGAGAGGGGGAACCCCAAAACCTTCATGCATCCAACCATGTTCCCCTGGGATGCTGTATTTGGCCAGAAAGCATCCAGGTGTTGCAGCTCCCTTACTCATAAGCTTTCCCCAGTGAGAGAAGAGCCACAGAGTGTGTCCTAAAACCCTGCTCCCCATTGCAGGACATTCCCTACAGCAAAACCCGACCACACAGAGGGAGATCCAACTCTTCTTTGAACTGTTTCTTTGGAGCTTGGTACAGGGCACTGTGGATGCACAACATTTCCACAGGGAATCAGTTCCTATGGGTTTATGGTGGCTAAAAAAAGCTGTCAGTGTTCTGGGCTCACAGAAACCTTGCAGGGAGATTGGGCTCTGGCTGTGAACTTGTCACCTGCACAAGCCCATCAGCCCCAGGCCCAAGCAGCCTTAGTGAAGAGGGCTCATGAACCCCTTGATGAAACACACAGTGCTGGGGAGGAACTGAAGGCAATGGGACACAAGTTTTGCAGGAGCAGGGACTGCTGAAATCCAGCAAAGCCATGCTACAGCAGGGTGGGGAGCACACTCATCACCCAGGAACCAAAGGAAGGAAAGCCACAAGACTGAGCACTTTATTTTGCTGTTGTACCATCCTCTAAGACCAGACTTTTTAATCCCTCTGCTGACCATCCTCTCAGTGCTGACCTACCCCTTAAGAAGAAATTTCGGGGGGGATTCCTTTGCGTTCCCACCCCCCTCTGCCCAAAAGCTCTGGGGAGCCTTACATTTTCCTCAAGCTCCTGGTACACTTCGGCCACCTCTTTCCCATCTGCCAGGCCTGGAAGCTGCCCAGCAGGGAGGGCCCAGCCCTGGCTCTGTCCATGCACCGACTCCCACACCGCTTCCTCCGTGGCGTTTATGGCTCTCAGCACTTTGGCCGTGATCTCACTCAAAGCCTGAGCCGACGACCTCTGTGAGAGCCAAAGCACAGGGAGGGAGGGAGGGGGGGAAAAATATGGATGTTATTTCAACGTGGTGTATAAAACAGCATAAGCCAGGGGGGAGAGGGGCACCAGACCTCCAGGAGCTGTGGAAAGAGGGAAGAGTGGTAATTAAGGGGCTTACGCTGCTCCTGAAGGGCTCTCCACCAGCAGAGCTTTGATCTCAGCCCGTGCTTTCTGCAGCATGGCTGTGACAAAAGAGGTCACCTCCAAAGTCTTGGAGAAGAGGTTATGGAGGGATGTTTCTCTCACTGGAAGCACCTGAGGGCCACTCCTTTACGCAGCAGTTAAGCTCTAATTGCAGCATATTGCTTTACACCTCAGCGGGGATGCAAACAACTCCCTGAGTTTGTGGCAGAAGAATAAAACCAGCCTGACCCCATAAAATGATTGTATTGCCACAGGGACAGACCTTGGGGCTAATTGTGTCCTCTCTTCCCACCCCAAGGAGCACTGATGGCAATCATGCCCTAAGTGCTGCCCTTGGCTTGATGAGGTGCTAAACACGGTAAAAATGGTCCCAAGAAACTCATTGTGTCTCTCCCAGCTGATAATTCCCTAGAAACCAAGGAGATGGGGGTGACATATGTGCTGGTTGTGTTTACAGCTGCATGTATTTCCGGGCAAGCTGTCCTGCAGAGAACCAGCTAACTCAGTCCAGATGACGTTTTTATCATTTTATGGTGCCTTCATGGTACAGCAGAGTTTTTTCACATTTTCCATTAGGTTCGTGTGCTTCCATCACAGTGCTCCCCCAGTCAGAAGATTTCCTCTTGACTGGACGAACCTCCTATCAAAAATCCCTCAAAATCACACAAAATCCAAACCTGGATCTGTTGCATGTATAAGGAAAGCTGCTGTTAAACATCATCCATGCTGACAGCCTCTAACCAAGGCTGGTCCAGCTACTGCAGGCATTTCTACCTCAATACTCCTCCCTGCTTCATAGCAGGGCTTGGGGGGGCATAGAAAGTAGTAAATCTGGAGGATCCAGGCTTCATTTCATAAGAAACCAGAATCTTACACTGATACCACACCAAGAGTTCAGGGTTTGAGCCTCTGCCTGCTGCAGATCAGCAGCTCACACAGAAACTAAGTCACCTTGGCTTGGTGACTTACCACTTACCTGCGCTTAATTAGGAATGGTTATTAAGACGATGCAGATTGTTCAGTCTAGGAGAAGTTAAGTCTGGCTGCAGCAACCATCTGAAAGCAGCTTTCAGGAAAAAGGAGCCAGTAAAGGATGCTGTGGGTAAGGATGCACTGCTGCTCCTCCAGCAGGGAGAGCACAGCAAATGGGGCCCAAACCCACCAGGTTTTGTGTTGGGAGGAACAAATGCACATTAAAGGCAGGTCTCATGGCACCATGAAAGTCACCACAACCTCCAAGCTTTGCAGGAGAGGAGAGGGGCAGCGTGGTGCCTGCTTCCTTCCTTTGCCAGCATTTTGGAGCAAATGCACACACCCCCCTTCGCACAGCCAGGGCAGGGGGGAGGGGATGAGCAAACCAGCCCTCAGAGACCCAACAGGGAGTGCTGACCTCTCCATCTGTGCTAATGGATCATCTTGGAGCCTCTGCACTGCTGTGATCTGTCCTCCTCTCCCTGACCCCTGTCCCCACCACGGAGGAGGGACAGTAGGCAGCACAGAGCTGGAAATGCAAGAGATGCTGATCTAGCAGAGTGGGGTCAGGGATTTAGGGACTCAGGGGCACTGACAGGTGTGGAAAAGACATTTCAGGCTGTAGCAGGTGCCTGACAAAGGCTGCTGGTACTAAATCCTCACCGAGCTCTTCTCCCACCCCAGGACTCTTCTCCATGGTGACTTCCAGATGCTGGGACCACACCTTTAAGTATATGTGGAGGTTGTGTAGCTCTCCATGACAGGCAGTAGACTGCAAGAACTCTCAGAGGTTTTACTTTTGACCCTTGGCTGAGACTGGGAGAGCCTACAAGGAGAAACGCCCACATTTAACACCCAGGGACTTCCCTATCCCGTGACATTGTTAAAGCAGACACAGACACAGCCCTGGTGGAGGTGTGGGGCAGAAGGAGAGTCACGTTTTCATGGTGTAAAACCACAAACCACTGAGAGCAGGAGGAACCATGGATGCAGCCTGGAATGATGTGGGTGGTGGGGAACAGATTACCTTTCGAACATCCCTGGCCATGGCCTCGCTGGAGGAACTCAGCTCTGGTTTCTTTGCTCTCTTCTCTTCTTCATGCTCCTCCTCGTCAGAGGAGACTTCCTTATCACTGATGTTGCTGGCTAACTCCTCCAGCTTCCTCTTCAGCTCCTCCTCCTCAGCATCGGGGTCAGTGTGGGACTCTGGGGCAGGAGACTGGAGGAGCAGAAGAAGGGAAAGGTGTGAGAGGCTCCTGGGGTGGACACAGGGCCTGCCTGGGTCCAGACAGGCTCAGCAAGCAGAGGAGCTCGGGAGTGGGAGCACAGAGGGGCTTTCAAACCACCCCAGGGAGCAGCAGAGCTGTGCTCCAGCTCCTCTCTGAGGAACACAAGCCCCTGACCTAAAGAACCTCCACTCCTGTTTTCCCCACACACAGAACTTGTTTTTCTCCATGGAAGATTTCCTTTCCCCCACCCTTAAAAAGGGGAGCATGAAGGATTTGGGGCAAAAAAATCCCCACATTTTCATTAGGAACCATGGCATGGCTGGTGGCTCTGAGGGCAGAGATCACAGCAACCCAGAAACAAGGTCCACCAGGGAAAGGGAAGCAGCCATGGGAATTGCCACTCCCTGAGGTAACTTTTGGAACCTCTGGGCAATCTCATTTGGGATGAGAATCCACACAGCAAATTTCCCTGTAGGATGGATGGCAAATTTCCACCCACCCCCGATGTTAGGTACAATTCCTGGTAGCTGGAGAAGAATCCCATTAAACTCCCAGGCACTGGAAGAGATCTCCAGAAGTTCCTGAACTTGCTGACCCCTGCATTAAGATGGGAATACAATTACCTGCGTCATACCTGGTGGGGTTTTGTCTGAGCTGTTTTTTAACAGCCTCCAACAGCAGCATCTGCAGCAGGCAATCTTTTTTTCCCCAGGCAACCTATTCCAGGGCTCTGCTACCCTTTCTGCTGGAAAGCTTTGTTGTTAACCTCAGCCTGTCCCACAGCTGTTTAGACTCACTGCCTGTGCTCAGATTTGCCCTGGATATGGGAATAAAGTGTGGGAACCTGACACTGTGAAAACCTCTTACTCCCTTGGTTGGCATTACTGATGGAAACCCCGAATGATTAAAATCACTGTGGCCACCCCCCTCTGCGAATTTTATAAAAAAATGGAGAAATTGCATTGTTTCATCAATGCCTGGGGGCTTTGCCTGTAATTATCACCATCCATTCTACTGAGCCATCAGCTGCCAGAGTGGTCATGGGTTCACATGAAGGAAAAGAGTGTATAGTCTAAAATTAGAAGCCCAAAAATCAATGTTAAGCGGTCTAAGTATTCACAGATTCTACACTGTTGCTCAGCTTTAACTTAATTTAGCTGCTTTCCTCCAAGTTTGATGGCATGGTAAGACCAGGGCAGCTCAGAGGAGATACAGAAATGCTCCTTGACTCAGCTCTCACAGTCGCAATAACCTGGTGCCTTCCTCAGAGGTATTAATTGGGTGTCCCATGATTACAAATGAGCTGCCACAGCTCTGCAGACACCACCTAACAAAACTCATGAAATTAGCACTTGATGAACTATCAGCCTGAAATCAAATTTTCCTTGTGCAGAGAGGGCAAGGAAGGCACTGGTTTGCACAGGGCCTAAATGGGTTAAATTTCCTGCAATTTCTGTCTTGCCATGCAATGTTTTCTAAGGCACTCCATCACCTGGGACTGGAGAACAGCCTCCAAGGCCAAATCAGAGGAGTGAACTCAAAGAGCCCAGGTCACTGTGGCACATAGGGACAGGGTTCAGTGAAGGACTTGGCAGTGGCGGGGGAACAGTTGGGCTCAGTGATCTCAGAGGTCTCTTCCAACCTAAATATTTCCATGATTTTGTCTATCCCTGCAGTGCTGGCTGCTTCAGAGAAGCCTGTGCAGCGGCCAGGGGAAGGGAGCAGCAGAGCCCAGAGTGCATCCCTGCAGGATTCCTGCCTGGTTACCTCGTCAGGGCGCGTCAGGATTTTTTCCTCCAAGCGGTTCAGCACGCGCTCGATTGCGGACATGCGAGTGTTGAGCTCATGGATCTACAGGAAAGGGGAGAGAGAGGGAGAGGGAAAAGGAGGAGAGAACAGACCAGCCACCACTCAGGACAGTGAGGAAACCAGCAGAGGAAAGCAAGCAGGGCACTGCCACCGTGGGCAGAGTTAAAAGGCATTAAAAAATAATATCTTTTAAGTAATGTCTTAAAAGTGCCAGTGAGCTCCAGGAGCTGCAGAGCAACCTCAAATCTGAAAAACTCCAAGCAGTGCCGAGCCCCCAGCACAAAACAATTCCCACCAAAACATCTGGAGCTTTGAAGCAGTGAATGTAAAACCCCAGCACCATTAAAAGCACCAGCCTGTAATAAAGCCACCCATCTCACCATCGTTCCTATGCTGCCCCAAATTGAAGTCAACATCCATTTTCACTTCCTACTAACATGTTTTTCAAGCTGTAACCACCCCATCACATGCCTGCCAACACAGTGGTGGAGAGAAATCCACAAAAAATTCAGAGTAGAAAAACCTGAAAGTCTTCCCTACCACTTTGAATTTTCTCACTTCTCTGTGCATGATTTACCCAGATGCCCGCTCCTCTCTTCTCCCTCACTCTTCTGACTAAAATGGGGCATGGAGAGAAGGGCAGAGAAATTAGACAGACAGATACCCTGAAAATCAAAGAGAAGTTACTTCCTGTGCTCAAGAACCGAGACAAACCTTTGTGGTGAGGGTGGACTTGGATTAGACATTAGGAAGAAATTCTTCCCTGTAAGGTGGTGAGGCCCTGGCCCAGGGTGCCCAGAGCAGCTGTGGCTGCCCCTGGATCCCTGGAAGTGTCCAAGGCCAGGTTGGACAGGGCTTGGAGCAGCCTGGGATAGTGGAAGGTGTCTCTGCCCATGGCAGGGGTGTGGAATGCGATATTTTTCAGATCCATTTAAACCAAAATATCTTTATGATCTATGATCACTGTAAACATTAAAGGAAGCTTTTTTTTTTTTTTTTAATCCCCTTTAGAAATTGAAGTTTTTCTTTCTTTGGAAAAAAAAAAAAAAGGTCTGTTTCCTTTGATCCAGACAAATAAAACATAAATGATGATAAATATTGCCTGGTTTATGGCACTCCCAGTGCATCACTGCTTTTCTGAGTGGCTTCTGCCCATTCAAAGGGGAGCAAGCAGCAAAAGCAGTAAGCAGAGGTGGCAACAAAGAGATGTGAGGGGCGGGCTTTGTTTCTACAACAATTTCCATCCTCTCGCTTAGTTTTTGTGCTTGCCAGCCTTTGATTAATTAGACCCTCACAACAGATAGGGATGATTGCATCTGCTTAAGGGAAGATGAATATAAAAACCCGGCGCTGTGGAGAGCAGAGCTGTCATTACCACCCCGAAGTGAAAGCATCTCCAAGCAGCATTAAACGCCCTGGCAGGAAGCACTTCAGCCCATTGCTAAGAGGTTTTTCAGTCCTGTCTAAGGCCTGAGTCTTGCATGGCTCCCAGTGACAATGAGAAGCTTCTGATGAGGCATTGGCCTCAGAGATGGTGACAAACCAGGAGTCACCACTGCCCCATCTCCATAAGGAAGAGGTTGGGAGAGATCAGAGCCTAAAGCACGGGCTGCTGTTGGTATTGATGGATACCTACCAGGACAGGAGCTGAAAAGCTTCATTCTCCTTCCCAGTCAAGGCTGGCTTTAATGCACCCCGTTAGGGCACATCTCCATCAGGAACTGGGTCAGCCTGCACTTCTCGCAGTGTGACAAAGGCTGGCAAACTGTGCTCTGCACTAAAACACTTCAGGGGAAATAAGCTTAAAGCACAGCCCATGACATCAGGTAGGGGAAGCCACCCCTTGCTGCTGAGGAGGGAGGACAGGTTACTCTACCCAAGCCTCTAGCAGAAGTTTTTTGTAAAGACCCAGACACCATCAAATCTTGGGGAGTGCAGAACCACTGACCTCAGAGGTACAACACGATGGCTTCTGGGAGAAATTTGGTAAATTGGAGCTATTCCTTGTGGCTTGGTCCTGTTGCTACCTGACTTTTAAAAACCTGAAGGCAAACACCCACACAGTTACCAATTCAGGGCTTTTTTTTTTTTTTTTTTTTTTTTTTTTTTTTTTTTTCTTTTGTGTCTCATCAAGTTTAAGTGCTTTTTTTCCCTTTTTTTCAAGTTTTGTTCTTGATGCTTCAGCTCTGGAGTCACAGGACTAGGGAACAGCCCCTGATTTAGTTAGAGCTGGGTGAGGAGCAGGCTGGGTGGCAGGATGGTTGCTGGCTGTAAACACATCAGCAGCACAAAGGGCAGGGAGGATGAGGAGCTATTGAAGCTAATTAGCAACGCTGCCACAAGAGCAAATGGGGGTAAAGTGGGAGTCAGAAGATGCCTCATAACCATTAGGGTGACAAGGCTCCACACCAGCCTTCCTCCAGGTGTGAGGGAACAAACCACAGCCCGATGTGGGACGTGGGAGCTTCCCCAGCTCCTGGAGGAAGTGGTGGGAGGCGTTGGTAGGAATTTGGGCCCATTTCCCCACTGTAAAGCGTGGTGCACATTTCATGCCTAACACAGCGTGGCCTCATTAAGGACACCCAGTCCAGCGTTCTCCCATTTACTGCTGGCTGAGGAAGGAAAGGCATTTGCTAATTAAAACCTGTGCCCACAGAAGAAAATGGCAAAGAGAAGCTTTGCCTACCCAGGCACGTGAAGTGTGGTGCTGAGGGGTGGTTGTGGTCTCAGATCTCACACTGATTGCCCAAAGAGGGGTCCAGGGCATGCCAAATTACCAGCTGTGAGACTGGAAAGTGATAATGCCCCTGCATCTGCAGCCAAACACCACCCTGCATTCTGCTGCTCATGAGATCTGAGGAACCAGACCAGCTTTACCATCCTCACCACGCACCACTGGCAAAGGGAGCACCAGGCACAACAGGTCCTTGCTTGACAATTAAAACACAAGCTTAGATCCTGTTTGATTCCTTTCTTTAGGTTGTTCCCCCCATTACCATCACTCAGGAGAGGTATGTGACAGGTCATCCTGACCCAGTCCTACCCAGGCAGGAACACACTGCAGAGGAAGAGAAGGATCTTGGTGCTTGTTAAATATCCATCTCCAGACCTCCATCTGGTTATTAAGCACTGGCACAGCCCATTTAAGCAAGCCTTTCTGGAGACACAAGAACCCACAAGTAACTCAGATTAATAAGGACAAGCTGGAAAATGAGCAGCAACAAGGGCAGGTTTGTTATTGTGATGGCAGCAAGGGCCATGGAAGCACCAACCAGTGCCTGCTTTTCTTTGTGCTGTGAGTGGAAAAGCACACCCCAGCTGGCCATTGCTGCTCCTCTTCTCCCCTGAACCACCCTGCACCTCAGAGGCAACAAGAGGGACGTGGCCACGGGCTGGGTGTCAGCAGAGGCTGTTTGGTACCTGGTTGGAGGAGTGGCTGATGTTCTCCTGGGAGGAGGCTCTGTTCCTGCGTTTGGTAGCGTGGGGTGGGAGCTGGGCTCCCCTCACGTCCTCGTCGGAGGTGTCCATGTCGGCCGAGTATCGCGCCCGGGGCGGCTCGTTCCAGGGGATGCCTTGGGAGAGAAAGGCACAAGGCATTCACAGGGATGCCTCAGGGTTTAGCTTTCATAGTTTTCAGATCCTGTGCTGCTTTAGTGCGTAGTCCTGAAAAACGCTTCATATTAAGGGATAGCAAGCTCTCTTCACAGAGTGGGAAGACAAAACAATTCCTTTTCTAGGAACCAAGGACAAATGATCCAAATCTCAGGCTCAACAGCATAAACAGCATGAACTGAAGAGAGAAAAACAAGCAGGATGGGACTTCATAATCTAAAGCTATAATTGGACAATTAACTCCAGTATACAAATGGACCAGAACTTATAAAAGTGAGAGACCCCGTGACCTGTCATCCATTTTGTGACCATTTTGGTTCATCTTGGGTGCAGCCCTGGCTGGGCTCTTGTGCTGCCCAAGGTGTAACCATTAAGACCTTCTAATAAATCCCTGCTTTATTCTTTAACTCTGTCTAGCCTCTGCTGAAGGTCAGCCTTCAGGGGACATCAACACCCCATAGCTCCTTCCAGGACATCCATCCTTAAGACAAGGAAATAAAGAGGCATTTCCCCAGATCAGACTTCCTACCCTTTGGCAGGAGATGCTTCTGCAAGCCAGACCAAGGGTAAGGATGGATCAGGCTGCAGCCCCACAGGCTGTGCCCACACAGCACTGAGCACAGCAGGGTCCCACACAGGACACGAGGAGCACCATCCCTGCTGTCATGCCCTGAACAGCCTCACCAAAACCACTACTGCCTTCCCAATTTTTTGGGGGCCAAGGTTTGGATGTTGCCCTTTGTGCACTGCCCAGGTGCTGGAAGATGTTTAGGCTCAGGCTGGAGAGGTGCCAGCCTAGGATGGAGCATTTAAAAAGAGTGGAAAGTCTCCTGTGTAAAGGAGAATTTCAAATGAGACAAAAACAATGAGAGAAAATGGAATTAACATGGCAGGGGACCTTGTTTCTGTGATGCTCCAGCAGGACTTGGAATGGGAATTTAAACAGCCATGTTAAGGTCTACCCAGCATTCCCAAATGTCCTGAAAATACAGCCAGGCCACTGGAGACAGAGAAGGACATATTCTACATTTGCATATGCACAAGCCAATATCCAACCCTCCTGGTTCTGCCATCACTGAGGGGAAAACAGAGGTGGTAAAAGGCAAATTCTGCCTCTTAGAGGGTATTTATAGACTCACAGATCCACAGATCATTTAGCTTACCCATGCACCCTGCTCAGCTACAAGGATGCCACTTAGCAACCTCCAGTTCTAGTCCAAGTCCCCTAAAAATTCAAAGCTTTCTGCAGCCACAACATCCTTTACTAAGGAGTTGAACTCCTCTGCCTACAGTGGGAAACACATCCCATTGTTTCTAGCATTTGATTGTGCCTAGTTTCTACCCTGAAAATCACCACTAGGTATGAAAGGTGTGGACACCTTGGGAACAATCCTTTGGCTTTGTTGGGAACCAGACCAGCCCTTTTACAACTAAATAACAACAAATAATCAGCAAGACTCTTTCCTAAGAAAAACCCCTTTTGCAGACGGATAAATCGTGTTGACCCTCTCAGTGGCTTTGAGGTTGTTCAGAAAAAAACCCCAAAGATGTTTTCACTCTGGTCCAACACCTGCAACCGCTTGTCCCAAGAGGATACAAGAGGAAACTGGCCAAGGACACCCACCAGGCTTTGGGTTTCTTTCCAGGCTCCTCCTCCGTGCGTTGACGGTGAGCCGAACCTCGGTGCTGAAGTGCTGCTCCGGAGCGCTCACCCCTGGCTCCTGCAGGACGTGGTGGAACACCAGGTCTGCATCCGTGATCCTGGACTCCTGGGAGCCATCTTCAGCTGAGTTGGGGAAATCTGGGAAGGACTGAGAGTTGAGGATGCTGCTGAGCAGCTGCCCACGGAGATTTCACTTGTGTGACCCCACCTGCAGTGCTGCCTCCAGCTCAGGGGCCCCCAGAGTAAGAAAAGTGTGGAGCTGTGGCTGCTTCTGGATCCCTGGAAGCACCCAAGGCCAGGCTGGGAGGGCTTGGAGCAACCTGGGACAGTGGAAGGTGGTGGAATGAGATGATCTTTACAGTCCCTCCAGCCCAAACTAAGATTCTAGATTCCTTGTCTCTCCTGACCTCCACTAAGAGCTCCTCTCTTCATTCTTCAATATATGCATGGAATGACCTTTTATAATGGCAATTATATTTATATAAAATATAAAAGTTCCTAATAATCCCATTTAAAGGCTTTGCCTGGCTGCTGAACCCTGAGCAATACTTCCCATCACTGCCAGGGGGCAGTGGTAATTTTTACAAGCACAGAGTTCCTTCAGCCAGGCTGCAACACCCTCGGATCTTTTAAAACGCCATCCCTTTCTACTTATTCAAACAGCCACCACCTCAAATAATCTGTAATCCATAAATCCAGTTTGACAGAGGCCAGCCCTCACACTGACTTCTGCTGCAAACAGAGGGGGAAAAGACAAGCAAACAGAGGGATCTAATTATTTCCCCCAAACGCTAATAATCTTGTGTGGAGTTGTGCAGATTTATTTATTTATTTATTTAAGCTGTTGTTACAGATCTCGGTACATCCTATTTCTACCCAAGAGTAGTTTAATCAGAGCATTGTTAAAAAGAAGGAGCTGTTTAATGCTTTAAAAGTGCAGTTTCACCAGGAAAGGCAAACAAGAGCATCCCAAAAAGCTGGAACTGAAGCCTCTCAGGCTGGAAGAGCTTGTGCCACACCCAGGGTCGCCCCATCTCTGTTCCCCCCCAGAGCAGGAAGGTGGGGTTGGTCAGCCCCTGGCCCTAGGTGGGATCACAGGGCACAGCTGACTGCACTGTCTGGATCTGCCTGAGTCCTGCTCCTGGCCAGAAGCTCTGGATACTAAGGCACATCCAGTCTCCTATTTAGAAGCAACCAGCATTCCTGCAGTGTTTGTCCTCCCAGCGTTCATCCCTCTGGCTGGCCCTCACTCACGCTGGCTCTGTGGGATTCATCTCAACCTCACAGAGGTTGTGTGCCTCATGGAGCTGCTGGCCAGCTGCACCCCAGTGCCACCACACGGCAAATCCAGCCCCAAATTGGATGGGAAGAATATGGGAGAAGAACCTGATTTCATTTAACCCCTCAAGCACTGAATCTGCTGGAAACCAGGGTGTGTTCCACAGCCTTGGGACAACACAAGAAAACCATTGTCTGCTGAGAGCAAGGAAATCTGCAGGGACAGGGCCAGAGAACCTCCTGCTGTCTCATCTTAGCACTCGTCCTCACTTGGATCAGATGTCCTGCTCCTGACTTGGCCTGAGGCAAAGGACTTCAGTTGGAAGAAGAGATCACAGTGATGAGGATCAGGGACTGGCACATTGCCTCCCAACACCAGCTGAAGGAGCTCTGAGGCTGAAGGAGCAGTGGCAGCAAGCAAGGAGAAGGAGGAAGAAAGGAAAGGAACCCCCCCAGGAGTCTCCCAGTACCTGGAAAGCATCCGGGCTGCTGGCTGCTGGAGAGAGCTGCACAGACTGGCGGCGAGACTGAGCAGAGTAATCCGAGTCCAGTTCGAAATCAAAGGGGTGCACAGACAGCAGCCGCTTTGTCTTGCACATCTTTAGCACAGAAAGTGCAAGAAAGGCAAATTCAGTGTAAGACACAGTTGACCTTGAGGAAAGACGGAGGGAGGACCTTTCTCTCCTTAGTTTGCCTGAGTTTGCTCTGCTTTTTGCAGAGAGAATTTGGGCCTGACGCTGTCCTGCTTGAAGGGAGCAGGTACAGTGTGTGCTTGTGCTAAAGGCAAGGAAAAGTGGGTTCCTCATTTCCACAGCCTCTGTAAGCACAGTGAGAATCTCTCTCGTGGTTTATAAGGGCACTCTGGGAAAGCTGAGCCAGGTTACAGCTCAGAGCTCATGCTTTTGAGCCCTGAAGCATCTCCCCATCCTCAGAGGGAGGATGTTGCAGGCAGATCTCTCTGAATATTTGAGAGGTTGTTAGTAAAAATACCCCAAAGTAGGTGTGTTCTCATTATACAGGTGGGAGCTGGGATTTGTATATTAATTGGTGATGTCCATAGTGTTAGGAGTGGTTCTTTTTTCCAGAGCACAAGTATTTGTGAAGTTACTGACACGGTTGTTTTTACACAGACTGGGAAAGGAGCTTATCTCAGAGAAGAAAAACAGAGGGAAAGGTCCAGTTTTGAAAGTGGCACAGGAAGCCACCGCCACCATCACCCAGGGCAGGCCAGGGACACGGAGCGAGGCAGGGGCAGCTGCAGAAGCAAACACTCACCCTGCTGTAGCGCTCTGCTTCAGCCCCACGAAGGACATTGTCTTCCTCATCGCTGTCCTCCCCGGCGTCACAGCTGCTGAGCAGCTGGCACTCTCCTGGAGGGGACACAGGCAGAAGGTGAGTGTCCCCACCCTGGTGGTCACACCAGTGTGCCTGCAGGCGAGGCCATGCTTCTTACGTGGGGTGAAAAAACCCAGACTAGAAGCAGCTCCCCAAATTTTTTTTTCTGCTGGCCTCTCATTGCTTCCCCTGCCAGATGTGCACCAACACAGATGTGGAAGTGAAGGGGCACCTGCACCACAGAGAGCACCCCGAGGGCCACCTGGGTGACTCCAGTGCTTGAAGGCTCAGGAGCTATTCCTGATTCCCACAGTTCTTCTATTTATCAATGACCCATTGCTTTGAGACAAGGAGTGCTTGCAAACTTCAAGTTTGGCATGTAACTAAAAGCCCTGTTGCATCCAAATCTACCCCAGATGTACCACAATGCAGGGATTGGGCACTGCAGGCCATCTCCACTGCAATGCAGTAACGCTTTCCCTGGTCTGACCACTCCAAATCTCCTCAGAAGTGCCCACACCTGGGGGGGATGTGAAGACATAAAGATTTTGGGAAACCTTGCTTGAACTGCAAGCCCCCTGCTGCAATCCCCTTTTTTACTTACTGTTAATGTCTGGCAGGCTATAAACTCTGTCATGAAGACCTAAACAAAGAGAAAAATGGTGGGAAAAATGAATAATCACATTTTCTTCCTGTTCCTCGAGCAGACAGCAAGCCTCAGAGGCATGGCTGACTGGAATTCTCATTCTCTAGCCATCACAAGAAACAATGGTTAAAAAGGCTCTTTAAAGAGAACAAAACAGGAGCTTGGAGACAGGACTTGACTTTTAGAAGTCAAAGAGCTGCTCGCCACTGCTTCCCCAGGCTGATGTGACATGCCTGGGAGCTGCAGGGGAAGGCACAGCCAACTGCAGATGGCCAGAGATACATCCCAGGAGGAGATTCTTGCTTGCTCGAGGGTCAAGCCAATTCACTGGTGTTAATGAAGTAATAAACAACAAAATAATTTCCCTTTGAAAAAGGCATCACAATCTCAATTTAAAGCACCCCAAGGCACTGTTACCCTCATGCTTGGCTGGGTTTTTGTGTGCTCTGATGCATTTTCGGTCCAAACAATGCATGGATTGTCTCTCAGTCCATTAATTTTTTTTTTCCTGCTATTTCTGCCATGAGTTGCCTGGCTAAAAGAGTGATTGGAGCAGTTGAAAAAGATCATGTCAATGGTATGTGTGCAAACTTTTCTGTGGCTCCTCAAGATGGGAATAAACTCCACATTGGCTTCCAAAGGAAACAGGCCAAGGAGTAGGAGGTCTATGAATAACAACTAGGAGCTGGTCAGTAATAATGCTATATTAATATAATCATATATTCATGCACTATTGGACCAAAATCAGAACTATGGAAGGTCCATGAAGCTCTGAAGTTATGGTGACAGGTAGCTCACCAAGTTTGGCACAGTTTTGTCAGTGCCAGTGGACAATCAGGTTGGTTGCAAAAATCATCAGGTCTTGGGGAAAAAAAAATGAGGGCTGGCTTTATCCTGCAGGTTAAACTAGGGTTAATTTCACAAGCTCTGTGATGAAAAAAAACCAATAATAAAGAAAAAAAAAAGAGCTGCAAATTTACATACTTACAAACTGCAGGACATGGGACTTTGAAAATTATGAGAGATATTAGGGATTGAGATATTATGGAATGTTTTTCATTGAAAAGGTGTTAAAGGAAGTGGTGGAATCACAATCCTTGGAAGTGTTCAAAAAACACATGGATCTGGCACACGGGGATGTAGTTTAATGGTGGTCATGGTAGTACTGGGTTGGACTGGATGATCCAGAGTTGTTTTCCAGCTGTAACGATCTTACATTCTCCAGCCTGTGGTAAAAACTTAACAGTAGAAAAGCCATCAAGAACACCTGCTCTGTGTCTGAATGAACAACCCTGAACCTCTGCTTCCTCCCTGGGATGTTTTGGGGTTGGTCCCCCACAACACCAGAGCAGCACCACCACTGCTGCTCGCCGAGGCGGTGCAGCACAGATTCCCCATGAGCAGCAGTGGCCATTCCTCACCCAGAAAGGCAGAGTTGAGCCCCTGGCCCGGCTGCAGCCTGCCATAGAGGGACTGCAGGACTTTGGCACTTCCAAACCTCTTGAAGCGGGACCGCACGTGTTCGTAGTACCACTCCAGGGAGCCGATCTTCACGATCCTGCCCAAAGAGAGGAGGCACGCCCAGGTGAGCAGATCCTCACCCAAAAAAACTGTATCTTAACAAAAACACGGCATGCTTTCATCTAAAAGGATGCTGAGTTTGGGCAAGTCTTGCTGAGCCTCATCACCTTGTCCCTCAGAGCAGAGCAGGAGGAGTGGTGTTCCCAGGGGCTGATACAGGGACTGGAATTCTTTAACATGTATGTTGGTGACATGGGCACTGGGATTGAGTGTTCCCTCAGTTCACTGACACACCAAGCTGCGTGGTGCTGTCACATGCTGGAGAGAAGGAATGACACCCAGAGGGACTGTGGACAGCCTGAGGTGGGGCTGTGAGAAACTCATGTGGCTCAACAAGGCCAAGTGCAAGGTCCTGCCCCTGGGCTGGAGCAATCCCAAGTGAATATACAGGCTGGGTGGAGAATGGATTGGGAACAGCTCTGGGGAGGAAGAATTGGGGATGCTGGAGGGTGAAATTGTTGACAAGAGCCAGAAATGTGCACTGGCAGCCAAAAATCCCCTCATGTGCTGGGCTGATCCCCCAGCGTGGGCAGCAGGGGAGTGGGGGATTCTGCCCCTCTGCCCCAGTCAGGTAAGACCCCACCTGCAGAGCCACCTCCAGCTCTGGGGTCCCCAAAAAAGGGACATGGAGCTGCTGGAATGAGACCAGAAGAGGCCACAAAGGTGCTCTGAGCCCCTCTGCTCTAGAGCCAGGCTGGGAGAGCTGGGGGTGCTCAGCTGGAGAAGAGAAAGCTCTGGGGAGACCTCAGAGCCCCTTCCTGTGTTTAAAGGGGCTCCAGGAAAGCTGGAGAGGGACTTGAGACAAGGGCTTGGAGTGACAGGACTAGGGGGAATGGCTTCCCACTGCCAGAGGGCAGGATTAGATGGGATATTGGGAAGGAGTTCTTCCCTGTGGGGGTGGGGAGGCCCTGGCAGAGGTTGCCCAGAGCAGCTGTGGCTGCCTCCTGGAAGTGTTCCAGGCCAGGTTGGATGGGTCTCTAATGAAAGGGCAGGGGGGTGGAACTGGATGGGCTTTAAGGTGCCCTCCAGCCCAAGCCATCCTGTGATTCCCCGAGGAGCAGCACCTGGAGAGGCGGCAGGGATCGCAGACCCAGCCCTGCTCCTTCTTGTTGTAGCGGCTGCAGCTCTTGCAGGTGTAGAAGCGGCAGTCCAGGCACTGCCGCTTGCTGTTCAGCAGGAACTTGAAGGGCTGCAGGCAGTGCACGCAGTGAGTTTCGTTGAGGTGGGACTGACTGGTCAGGAACTCTCTCTTGCTGCTCTCCTGGTCGATCTTGCATTTCAGCTCCCTGCAGAAAACACCCCCCCCCCCACAAAAGCAGGAGCTTGAGTTTGTTATTGTCTCACTGCAAACTCCCACGTGGCAGAGCCCATCACGCCACAATCATTTCGGGAACGATTTTCCAGGGAACACTGCAAGTCTGCAGCTTGTGGAAACAGCTGTAGGGCAAATCTAATAAATAACATATCACGAGTTAAATAAGCTAAGAACAAAGTGGGCTCCAAAATCAGGACGGTTAACTGGAGTTTAATACTAGATTTAATTTAATATTAGAATCACAGAATATTCTGAGTTTGACAGGACCCACAAGGATCACAAAAAAAAAAAAAAAGGGATTGTGCCAAAACCTGTCCTGTTTGTTTCACAGGGTGTTGATCATTAATGCCAGGAACCTCGGGAGAGCAGCTCTTCTCAAACCCTGTGGCTGTATCCCAACATAACACAATCTTCAAGCCTGGAGTCCTGCAGGGAATTAAAATCTTTCTGGAATTCTTAGTTTAAAAAAAGGGGGGTGAGGGGGGGAAATAAAAAAATCTGGGATTAAAAAGGATTAAAAGAGGTTTTAATATAGTCCTACAGCACTAAAAATTCAGCAGACAACTTTATAAAGTTATGTGCAGCAAGGTTCTGGCTGTTCAGAGGATGCAGCAGGAGGAGAGGCTTGTGACAATCCCATGAAAGGGAAGCACTTTCCAAGAGCACCTTCACCTGGCAGTGCATCCCTGCAGGCTTCCTTCACTATCCAGACCTGGATGCCAGAGCAGATCCCCATGGGAAGGAGTGTCTGGACAGCTGAGATGCCTGCCAGGCTGCTGTGGCACCCTGCACTGCCCAAAAGCTCTCTGTTTGCTGCCCGTGCCACGCACCGCCTCAGGTATGTTTGCCTTTGGGGCCATGGCTGAAAGGAAAATGTTTGACTTGTAGGGAAGGTGCTAGAAAGTTGTTTTCTCTCTAGACAGGGTTAGGAAGCTGTGTTTTCCAGAGCAGGAGTCAGCTTGGGTTAAACCCTCAAGGGATCAGGTCTGGAGGCCGCTTCAGGATCACAGTGTGGACCACGAGGCACTGGTGATGCTCCCAGTGACGCCGGGGTGACCACAAAGGAGCTGGGGTGACCGCAGCAGGAGCCTGGCTGGCCCTGGGAGCAGTGGTGTGACTGGCAGTGGGAAAGGCAGGCATGTCAAGCAAGCTAATCTCTGTTTAACCTAATCAGTTTGCACATTAGGACTCAGCTTTTGATTTTTTTTTTTTTTTGAGGAAGAATTTTCTGGCCGCCTGGCAGCCAGCGCACTGCAAGACACATTTTTTGGTGTCACTCTTCTGCTTGTGGTCACGCAGGAGTGACACCAACTTGCATTTGCATCTGGGAGATGTAAAAACCAGCATAAAGAGAGAAAACTGGGCACCTGGTTTGTATAATCAGCCGTTCACCATCCCAGCAGTGATTTGCACAAACTGGTGCAAATGTCCCAGCCGTAAATTTAAGTGACTTCTGAAAAGAAACCCTCATACAGAAAACCCTTGGGTTGGACTCTGTACTCCTTTTCCACTCCCGTGCTAAGGCTGTTGCCAGCAGGATCTGATCTTTTTTACTGGAACTGCTTTTTCTGGTTCCCAGAGACCGGTTGGATCCCTTCAGCTCTCCTCCCTCACCCACCAGACCTGCCAAAGGAAGGAAGAGTCTCAGCCAAACCAGTTTAAAACCCGCAGGAACCGCATGCCTCTTGTCTCCTCTTGCTGGCAGGAGCACCAGCCAGCCCCTTCCCTGCTCTGCTCACGGCAGGATGAATAAATCTGTGGTGTTGGGATGCCAGCTGCAGCAGGGTTGGACCTACAGAGCCCCAGGAGAGATGCAGGGAGCTGTCCCCCAAAAATGGGGTTGTGGGCATGGAAAGAATCAGGGAGAAACCCCTCAAAATGGCCATTATTTAATTTTTTGGGCAAAGCATTGCCCTCACATGCCTGTGCAGCTTGTGGCCAGCTGAAGCCTTTGTCCCTTGTAGGTGAATAGCTTCTGCCAAAAACAAAATACAGAGAAGGAGCAAAAAGGGAAGAAAAATACCAAGCTGGGGAGGGGGTGGACAGGACATTTCTTCAAGGCTGGCAGGTTGAGACAAGCCCGGTGAATAGAAAAGTAAGTGAATAGAAAAGTAAATGGGGCTGGTCAGAGCACAGAGTGAATGGCTGCAGGGTCCCCCACAATGTCACATCATGTCCCAGCTTGTTGCAGGCAGAAAATTCTTGTGTAGCTCCATGTCCAGCACCCAGGAATGTGGCATACTTTCCCAGGCTGGTGGTCTGGTCTGTTGCCGAAATTATTCAGAAAGTACAGAAATTTCTGTACTACAGAATGCTTAATGCCAGCCCTTTGCAGGGCATGACTAAAGAAAAAAATAAAACTAAGAAACCAGGGGAAATGATCCTTAGGAGGAGAGACAGCAGCTGGGTAGGAGCATCCCAAGACCTTCCCCTATCCTGCATCTCCCAGAGCATGGAACTCAATTTGGAAGCTTCCCGGGCAGCAGAGAGGACACAGATAAGCCAGTCTGGCGCCAAGGCCTAGTAAGGAAGGAATTCACCTCGCCCAATTCTTTGCTGCAGGGCACAGCAATGTAGGTCTCCACCTCCTCCCTCCAGGCTGAGCTCAGATGCATCACAGGGGAGACATTCACCCTTTGCAGGGTGATAATTTTTTAAAACACCCCTGTCTGATCTCTTTCCTGCTCTTCAGAGCTACCAGCAGAGGAAGGCAGTAGTTGATGATATTGAATTATCTCTGCCTCCCACGCAGGCTGGCTTTTCTTAGGCAAAAAAAAAAAAAAAAAAAAAAAAAAAAAAAAAAAAAAAAAAAAAAAAAAAAAAAAAAAAAAAAAAAATCAGGGGGATGAAAACTACACTACTGAGAGTTTCTGAGAGTTTCTTGTAGCCTTTGGTGTAAATGGAGGGGTCCCACGAGTGAAAGGTTTTGGGGCATGCAGATATCCCAAACCGAGGATGGCTATCGCTCCTCATCCCTCCTTTTGGATCTGATAGAGGAACTAATGAGTTCCTGCTCTCCAGGCACTGGTATCAGCACCAGCCCTGGCACACAAAATTCAGAGCTGGGAGGGTCTGAGGACTCAGTGGGAGTGCAGCACAGCCCAAACCCAGTCTGAGAGCATGTACCATCCCTCTGGGATAATGAGAACTTGGCCAGACCCCAAAGAGGGTCACTGCAGCTTCTTGAAATATGTTAAGGCATTATTAAGTTCAGCATCTGATGTAGTTCATGGACAAAACCTGAACCTCTATGATTTCTCATGCTCAAAATTTAATCTGATCTGACAGAACGTTTTTTAAACAGCACTTTCATCCAACACCCTGTTTATAAGGACTGAGAAGTTCATAGAATTTGCTGCTCCAGTGACTTTTCAATATTTTCCCAATCTGTGGGCCCCTAAAACCTTCCCAGGACAGCACAGCCCCCGGTATTGGGTATATAAGGCTACTAAAATAGGTTTACTACTACTAGTAGGTTTACTACTCCTCTCAGTTATTTTTCCAGGATTCTTCAGGGATCTGAGGACTCCTAGGACCCACTGAACAACTCCTGCCCTAAACACACGAGACCCATCACATGAAGCAAAACCAAGGCAGCCAAACCCCACGCTCTGCTCCCGGGTGAAGCCTCCCCTGGAGAGCCCCACCAGCCTCCAGCCTCACAGAGGCATTTCCTGGTATTTGTCCCCATAAAGTGCGGCGGTGTCACCGATCCGCATCGCTGCCGGTGGCACGGCGCCAGTTTGCACCTTTGCTGCCCGAATGCGTCACCTTGCCGCTGATAACGCAATCTATTAACCGTGCAAGGCTTCCACAGCCCGGTCTCCTGCCGTGCCTCCTCGCCCACAGCCTCAGCAGGCTGTTTTATCCCTCCAGCCCACGGGGACCCGAGGTCCCGCTTGGTTTGCCCCCAGCTCAGGCACGGGAGAGCAGATACTCACTCCAGCCGTTCCTCCTCTTTTTTCCGCAGATCAAAGTCCCGCTGAACGACCTCCCAGACATGCTTGGCTTCTTCATCGGTGAGCTTGGAGAGGTCCAGCTTCCTGCCCATCTCGTCGCGGCGAGGCTGGCAGCCGATCCCGTTACTCGCTACCCCCGAGCGCTCGCTGTCCCGCAGCCCGGGATGCTGCTGACGAAGGGGGAAGAGCTCAGCCCCACCTCCGCGGCTGCCCATATAACCGGGCAGGGGCAGAGCTGCGGGCAGGCCAGCCGGCTCCTGCCAGCACCGCAGCCGCTCTGCCGGGCGATCCTGCCCGCGGAGCAGGGCTGGCACGGCGCCTATCGGCTGCGGGGACTCCGGGTACCAGGGAGGCCGGCCCTGCCTTCCCCCGGGGTCCTGCCCGCGGCTGCAGCCGCTCCAGACCTCGCCCGCCTGGCTGGGGCTACGGGAGATGTTTACTCTGCGCAGGGTGTGCGGATGAAAGGGAGCCTTCAAACGCCTCCCCGGGGAAGGCAGGCCACGGGCTTTGGGAGGGAGCGGAGCATCCCCGGGAGGAGCTGTGCCTGCGCGCCCGGGAGGACCGGCTCCATCGCGGGGCCTCCTGCCCCGCCAGGATGCTCCGCTCCCCTGCCCGCTCTGCTGTGTCTCATCTCCTCACACTGATCTTGCCCCCAGCAGCAGTTTGTGAGGAAAACTTGAGCGCATCTGGCTTCGCCCCACACCAGAGACTGGCGTCCTGAACTGCTCCCACAGCAATTTGGGCAGCTGAGCTTTGCTGGTGGCAAACAGCTTAATTAGGACGCAGCACTTCCCTCGTTTGCCGTGAGCAAGACAAGACGGTTTGACAGGATTTTAAGAAAAGTGCTAAATACACCACACAACCAAAGATATATAAATTGTAATATATATATATATCCGACTGCTGAGGCTGCTCTCTTGCTCAGTAAAACACTCCCTCTGTGTCTAGGGATATTAAAGTAAACCCATTTCTCACCTTCATCTGAGCAAACATTGACAGTACTTTATTTTCTATTTATTTTTTTCCACCCTGACAGGAATGTAAACAAGGAGCAAGACAGCAAGACCAAATAGGAAAACTTCTGCCTGGTGGGACTAAAATCCCTGCTGCCCACCCAGGGGTACAGGGAATTATCCACCCTGGTAACTCACTTGAAACAGAGATTAGATTAAACTCTACGAACAGAGCCAGAAAAGCATTTTGAACCCAAATTAGGATGGATTTTGTGCAGGAAAGGTGATGCCTACAGATGCAGCGTTTGAGCTTGGATATCGGGAATGCACGATCTTCTCTGGAAGCCAGGAATTGATTTCCAGCTGCTGGTCCAGCAGAGATCCCGGCAAAAGCAATCAGTTTATTGGCAGGAGGCAGACATCAGTGGGGCAGGTCCTTATGTAAGCGTGTTTGAGAGCCCTTGCGCCCCGCTGCACCCGAACAGGGAGCGGTCAATAGCTCCTAATTAACATCACAACGAGACCCTGTTCCAGGGCCTCCCGCTCCAACCACGCCAGCAGCTCCGACCGCTCCAACCACGCCAGCAGCTCCAACCGCCCCAGATCCCAACACAGTCTCCTCCAAAAGGATAAAGAGGTTGCGTTAAATCGGGAAGATGTGGCCTGCAATGAAAATGGGGGGAAATGCAAGTGTTCAGCAATGCCAATACCCCCCAAAAAGGGCTGGCTTAGCCAGAAAACCACCTCAAGGGAAATGTCCCGGGTGCAGGAGCAAATTCAAAGTATTCCGTTGGCAAACTATTGCCTGGGAACAGAGTCTTGTCAGGAAAACTCTCCTCCCTCAGCTCACTGATGTGTATAACAGCAAAGATAGAACTGTTTTCTTTTTTTTTTTTTTTTTTCCCTCTCTTTCAAAGCAGTTTGTTGGATTTTGTAGCAGTTCAGACCCAGCAATCACCAGCTTCCAGCAATCCTCTGCCTTAAAGGAGGACAATTAAACCTGCCCACCCACAGCTCCCTCTCCCATCATACAACCGTGAATGAAGACTCCCAAATCTTTCAAACTCATGCAAAAGGAAAAAAAAAAAAAACCCAAAAAACCAAACCACACACCCAGAACCTCTGAGGCAGACACTGCCACATGGAAGCCTTCAAAAAAGATGTGTATGCAGCACTTGGGGACATGGTTAGTGGTGGAAATGGCAGTGTTAGGTTAATGGTTGGAGTCAGCCTTAGAAGCCTTTTCCACCCTTTATGATTCCAAGTTGTAGGGCCAGATGATGTTATATGTCTGCCTAAGTCCACCAGCCCCTGCAGTGACCACGCGTGTGGGGTGGAGATCAGGAGCAGGGACGTAAAGGAAAAGTGATGTGTTTCCTGTTAGCTGGAGGCTCAAATGGACCTTGATTCCAGTCGAATTGGGGACCTGGTGGCAAAATGGGAGAGGGAAGTGGCATAAGCTAAGCCTGTCCTGGGAAACCAGGCATGGATGGATCCCAGGCTCCATTTCTGATTTTCACTGTTGCCACATGAGGAAAATAATGGATTTCTGGGGTATCTTTAAGAGAAATGCACTTCTAGCTGCAGGGCCACTTTAAAAAACAACAGTCACATGAGCTGTTATCTTTGCAGTTCTTGGTAATTGATTTGTAAGACAACTGTGAACTGATATATGGGACATGTGGCCTGGCCCTCCTCCAGCCATTCATTCCACAATGTTTTAACTGATAACTGCAAGCAAATCCATAATCAGAGTTCAACAAAAGAGATGAGTGAAGATAATACCCAGTTGCTTCTAAAGACAGCAGACACCACCTCGATGAAGCCACCCAACACTCCCACATCCTCATTTTCTTCCTGCTGAAGGGGTCCCTGTTTGGCCAAACCAAGGGACAAAACCCCAATAATTTCTCCAGTGCCTTAAGTGCTGCAGAGGGAAGATGCGCCCACACCAGGTGCTGAAATGGTGATTTACAGTGGGGTCAGCTCCAGCTTTGCTTCTCACTCCAACACCACTGATGGGTGTTTTGGCTTTCCTCAACACAGGGTCATCCCAAACACCTGGCCAAGCTAGAGGAGTTTCCAAAAGCCAGACAGAGTCAAAGCAGGAGCATCCACCAGCAGCTCCAGCCTGTTTCAAAGCCACAAGCAGAGAGGTCACAGGACCCTTACTGACAGGAGCATAATAAAAACAGGAGCTCCAACAAGCACTGACCCCAGTTGCTGCTGATTCCAGAAGTTTCCTGGGTGCCTCTGCCTCTCCCCCCATCCTCCTGCAATCATCTCCAAGTCATGAGATCTCCCTGGGATGATCCTCCCTGGCATTCCTATTTCCTTTCAGTTTCCTGGCAGATTTACAAAGACACCTTATCACTACCATCATACTGGAGAAGAGCAGGACAGGGAAGGAGTGTACAATGCCGCTGCTATTTCTGTATGTGACTCACGAGGGATTGCCATGGGTTTCATCTATTAATACAGCAATTAAATTATGCTATGGCATGACCACATCTCATTTGGAATGACCCCAACAGCCTCACTTAGAGAAAATAACCATTCAACTTTAATTGTCACGGATAACGATGCTCTGATATCTGTAGCAATTAGGAAACTATCACTGAGAACATGAAAACAAAGTTTGTGGAGTGTCATTTATGGGGTTGAAGATATAAGGACATTTTTCCCAACCAATGTGGCTATTAGGGAGCCCTCTCTGCCCCCTCGAAAACCCCATGAGCCTCACAGCACTGACAGCCCCCCAAAGCCCCCATACCCTCCACAGACCTCAGAGCCCACATAGACAGCCCTCACATCCCTAACACACCCCATAACCCCTAAAAACCCCATAGCTGTCACATCCCTCATATATCAGGTAGCCCTTACAGACCCCATAGCCTACACAGACCCTACAGGCCTTAGAGCTCCCATAGCCCTCACAACCCCACGGGACCCATACCCAAATTGTGGGAAAATGGGGTAATAGCCTTAATTTTTAACCCTAAAAAGGTGAGGGACAACAGGGATTCCCTCTCAATTTAAACCTTAGGATTGCCCTCAATCCAAACCCATCATATGACATAAAAAAGAACTTTCCCTTCCACTTCAACTGGAAAATGAGGATTCCTGGTCAATTAATTGATACCTCTAAAAACACAGAAAAGGCAGGTTTTCCTTCAATTTATAACCTTTAAATCACAGGTGAAGGGGTCTTCCCCCCCAGTTTAATAATAATAATGGAAAAGGAGGTTTTTCCCTCAATTTAAACCCCTTTTCCCCTGAACTCCCTGCCTTTGTTCTGGCGTCACCGGGATGCACTGAGGAGAAACTGAGGGCACTGGGATGCACTGGTGAGGGATGGGGAAGATTAAATGGAAAGGAGAAAGGAAAGAGATCTTCCCAGGACCCCCAAATGCTGTCCCACTCCTCACCCTCACCAGCCACACCTGGGCTGCCCCACCCCTCAGCACAAGGGGCGATGGTTTTAAACTGAAGGATAGAGGTCAATATAGATATAAACACCGGGAAAAGATTTTTATAATAAAGGTGAGGAGGCCATGGCAGAGGTTTCCCAGAGAAGTTGTGGCTGCCCTGGAGGTGTCCAAAGCCAGGTTGGACAGGGCTTGGAGCAACCTGGGATAGGGAAAAGTGTCCCTGCTTGCAGCAGAGGAGCGGAACGAGATGAGCTTAGAAATCCCTTCCAATGAAATATATTATAAAAAATCCCCCTAGCCTCCCTTTGGTGAGGTCTCCGGGGGGAAGAACTGACTTTAAATCTGTTTAAGATCCCTCACCCGGGGCCGGGCGTGCTCTAGGGCCCGGCCGGGCTGTGACACCACCGATCCCTCGGCCTCATCCCTCAGCCGCGCCCGGGACCGCTGAGCGTCTCCAGCGTGGCTTTTTGTTTGGTTGGTTGTTTTATTTTTTCCCTTGTCTGTCTGAGTCGTCTCATTTATTTATTTATTTTCCGCCTCGAAAACAAATAAATAAGTAGAATCCCTCCCCAGAACGAAACACGATGGCGCGGACGGGATGGCAGCCGGGCGGGTGTCCCAGCTCCAGCCCTTCGTGTCCCAGCTCCAGCCCTTCGTGTCCCAGCTCCTTCTGCGCCCTCCTGGGAACGCAGGTGAGCACAGGGAACGCCGAGGGTCCGGCAC